CAGAAAGAAGACATAGATTGCGGCATGCTCACATTTCAATGACTCGGAATACCTATAGCTCGGGTTGATAGTTGACCTTTGGATTCTTTCTCGGAGAACGAAGCAAAACGTTAATGTCAACATTTCGATTGTTCTCATCAGTCGCAAACACAATACAAGCAGAAACACAGGCACAAATATATACATGGGAAAAATTGGCACACCAATTAAACTGTCAAAATCAAGACCAAGGCAATCTGATTGATTGCCACAACAGTTTCTGTGCGCATAACACAGGTTGATAAGCGCTAATTAGCAACGCTTCCCTGATTGCCAACCTTATCGGGTTCCTGTTGCTTAATAACACGTTGAACGCATTATTCGGGTTCACATGGTGACCAGTTGTCAAGAGGTGTTTGGCGATAAGATGATGACGGGCTCCAATTCGTTCTGTGGGGCTTTCCGTTTTGTTGCGCCATTATTTGTTCGATCCACTTTGGCACGTGCTCAACCACTCTCTGAGCCAACCGGCGGTTAGTCTTGCCTATGTAAATATTACCGCAACTGCAAGTGAACTGATAAACCACATGAGAGGCCGATCTAGCCGAAGGGTAGCTCTGACGGTCTTGAAGAACCAGTTTCCGAGTGGTGTGCATGAGGCGCAACTGGGCAGTCCTGTATGTTCGATTTAGGGCGCACTTGAGCTTGTGTCCGATATCATTTGCCATATGGTCTCCCTTGAAGGGTGGAAACAAATAGACAGCTTTTTTCTCTGCATTTTGCACCGGAAGTTTTTTGGGGTCTGCTGTGCACTTGGATGAACTTTTCGGGATAACCATTCGATACTAAGGTCCTATACAGAAGCTTTTCTTTAGCTTCCAGCAATTCCGGACTACAAATTTGTCTAGCCCTGTAGAAGAGCATTTTCACTAGGCCGCGTTTGTATGCAACCGGGGCGATCCTGGAAAAGTGAAGGGACTGCCCACTCCAGGTTGCCTTCCGGTAAACGGCGCGTCGCAGTGTACCTTCATCCCGTCTCTTGATGAGGATATTCAAAAATGTCAGGCAGCTCTGTTGTTCTATCTCATGGGTCACTGATAAGTTGGGGTGAATTGAATCCAAAGTGGTTAACAGTGGCGCAAAATGTTCACTGCTGGTGAATACCAAAATGTCATCCACGTATCGTTTGTACAGTTTCGCTTCACCAATACTGGCAGCAACTTGGCTTTCAATAAAGCTAAGAAAGTTAGCTGCCAAAACCGGTTCCAATGGACTACCCATGGCCACCCCGTCGATCTGCTTGTATGCCGTCCCCTCAAACCAAGCCGTACATTTTCTGTGCAGATCTGAATCACATCTCTTAAAAATTCCACAGGGAGTCCTACATGCACGTTTTGGCTAAGTATGAAATGACACAACAAGTTAACTTTTTCATGAAGAGGTGTGTTTGTGAATAGTGAGTCCACGTCTATAGAGTACATGAACTCCGAGCCCAGTGAGGATTGTTCCAGCGTCTCCGCCAGTCCAAAAGAGACTTTCAGGCAGTGTGTAGTCTGTTGTGTCCCGAGGCGTTCGACTTCTTAGATTGCGCCCCAAGAGTCAAAAAGACAACGCACCGGACAGGAGGTATATTTGTGGAACACTACACGGGCCGGCGTGGGTATGAAAACACTCTAATTCCAGTTCCAATCACGGCTGAGGGCTAATTTGAATTTATCGATCTCAAAGAACCACGGGACGTGTGAGGGGTATGTAACAAGCGGTAGTAACAAATGCTCTGCAACACGGAAAAAAACTCTAGTCTACAGTTATGAACGGTTACACAAGTATACCTGTGTTTTTCTTTCACCTCCAACATAGTCAGGAATTTACGTACTGGATCTAAGAGTTTCGCCGGCCACGGAGCAACGTTATGATATGGTGAGTTGTTCATGCTCATAAGCGGACGCAGTGGGTTTCATGGTTTGTGCAACTTGGGCGCGCTCCTCATTCTCGGTGTCTGTGTCCCAGTAGTTTTCAGCTGTCCGTACTGCGATTCGGTGATGTATCCATGAAGCAAGGGTATCTGGAGTGTCCTTTCTCCCTGCTTCTCCACCAAGATGTTCTCCAGTGTCGCGTCTCACAGGAACTTATACCTATCCCCCAAAATAGACTGTTGAGGCCATCAATCAGATTGCCTTGGTCTTGATTGTGACAGTTTAATTGGTGTGTCAATATTTTCCCATGTATATATTTGTGTCTGTGTTTCTGCTTGTGCTTGCGACTGGTATGAACAATCGAAATGTTGACATATCGCAATTTATGTCTTCTTTATGCTTTGATGATTCATATTAGTCACAGTAAGTGAATGTACTTGCTCGTATGCTCTATAGTGTTCAGAACCCACGATATCGAGAACCAGCTTGGACAGTACACTATGTAATTAATAACTGACAGAACATCCGACATGCATTCAGTGGAACACGATAAAGTGTGTATGTGTATGTATGTATGTATGTATGTATGTATGTATGTATGTATGTATGTATGTATGTATGTGTGCCCCATGCTGAGGCTGATGTTGCATTGTTGATGCTTCTTCACCGCAGTTGGGCTAAACCAACTTACACTTAAACTAGGTCTCTTTATGCTGCATAAATTTCATTCCAGTTTATTTGGTTAGTTTTGCCTATCTGAATAGTCTTCTATTAGCTGGCCACGTCGCTTACGCTAATTGCGCTTATCTTCGGTAATTTTGTTGCGTTTGTAGCATTTTTGAGTAACTTGTGGACTTTTTTTCCTTATCACGGATTCATTGCTAACCAACTTACTTCATATGCTAACTTAGCGAAGAGTTATGCCACCGTATCTGTATGCATTATTGGATTTATGTTATTTCATTTTGTCGTTTCAAGTGATTGGCTGTTGCGTGCTATCCCCGGTGTGGCTGCGCTTGATGTGCATGTTGACAAGGTGCCTACCTGTCTATTACCCACTACCTCGTCCATACTGGCTCCAGGAGACAGTTGGTCGTTGCTGGGGGGGACGGGGTGCACGGTTCTTGTGGCCGTGCTAGGCTCAAAGAGCGGTTCCATGCACTCAGTGTGGAGCGGACTACGGTCCAGCCACCGCCTTGTGTGCGGTTGATTCCCCAAATACAGCGTGCTTGTGTTTGCCTGTGAAGGAGTGTGGGCCGGCTCCGTTGATGAAACGTGGTTCCCATCCACATGCCTCCCGGTCTTATTCCTTCGGGTTTACACTGGATATGGGGTGTGTGGTTGGAGCTGTGGGTGGTGCAGCGCAAGACACCCATGGTCCCTCTGTAGGCGCAGGCGTCCTGTGGCTTGCCACAGTGACAGGCAAATCCGAAACCGGATGCCGCCAACCATGTATGTGTGCCCCATGCTGAGGCTGATGTTGCATTCTTGATGCTTCTTCACCGCAGTTGGGCTAAACCAACTTACACTTAAACTAGGTCTTTTTAAGCTGGCTAAATTTCATTCCGCTTTATTTGGTTTGTTCTGCCTCCCTGAATAATGTTCTATTAACTGGCCACGTTGCTTACACTAATTGCGCTTATTTTCGGTAATTTTGTTGCGTTTGTAGCATTTTGAGTAACTTGTGGACATTTCTTACTTATCACGGATTTGTTGCTAACCAACTTACTCCATATGGTAATTTAGCGAAGAGTTATGCCACCGTAGCTGTATGCATTATTGGATTTATTTAATTTCAGCTTGTCGTTTAAAGTGAATGACTGTTGTTTGATATCCCTGGTATGGTTGCGCTTGATGTGTATGTTGACAAGGTGCCTACCTGTCTATTACCCACTACATCGTTCATACTGGCTCCAGGAGACAGTTGGTCGTTGCTGGAGGGGACGGGGTGCACGGTTCTTGTGGCCGTGCTAGGCTCAAAGAGCGGTTCCATGCACTCAGTGTGGAGCGGACTACGGTCCAGCCACCGCCTTGTGTGCGGTTGATTCCCCAAATACAGCGTGCTTGTGTTTGCCTGTGAAGGAGTGTGGGCCGGCTCCGTTGATGAAACGTGGTTCCCATCCGCATGCCTCCCGGTCTTATTCCTTCGGGTTTACACTGGATATGGGGTATGTGGTTGGAGCTGTGGGTGGTGCAGCGCAAGCCATCCATGGTCCCTCTGTAGGCGCAGGCGTCCTGTGGCTTGCCACAGTGACAGGCAAATCCGAAACCGGATGCCGCCAACCAGGTATGTATGTGTGCCCCATGCTGAGGCTGATGTTGCATTCTTGATGCTTGCTGCTCGAAGTGGGGGCTCGTTATAACAAAACTTTCACTCTTTTATATTTTTTTTTTTAAATTTTAATATTTTTTATTTTACCGTGGTTTGGTCTGTGGTTTGCGGGCGTTTGGGCTGAAGAGTGTGGGGGGGGGGTGCGGAAGCAAGGTTGTTTGAGGCAGCTGGTTCGGCCTAAGGGGAGGGCAACGTTGGGCAGCGAGCGGGGGGGGGGGGGGGGGGGGGGGGGGGGGGGGGGGGGGGGGGGGGGGGGGGGGGGGGGGGGGGGGGGGGGGGGGGGGGGGGGGGGGGGGGGGGGGGGGGGGGGGGGGGGGGGGGGGGGGGGGGGGGGGGGGGGGGGGGGGGGGGGGGGGGGGGGGGGGGGGGGGGGGGGGGGGGGGGGGGGGGGGGGGGGGGGGGGGGGGGGGGGGGGGGGGGGGGGGGGGGGGGGGGGGGGGGGGGGGGGGGGGGGGGGGGGGGGGGGGGGGGGGGGGGGGGGGGGGGGGGGGGGGGGGGGGGGGGGGGGGGGGGGGGGGGGGGGGGGGGGGGGGGGGGGGGGGGGGGGGGGGGGGGGGGGGGGGGGGGGGGGGGGGGGGGGGGGGGGGGGGGGGGGGGGGGGGGGGGGGGTGGGGGGGGGGGGGGGGGGGGGGGGGGGGGGGGGGGGGGGGGGGGGGGGGGGGGGGGGGGGGGGGGGGGGGGGGGGGGGGGGGGGGGGGGGGGGGGGGTGGGGGGGGGGGGGGGGGGGGGGGGGGGGGGGGGGGGGGGGGGGGGGGGGGGGGGGGGGGGGGGGGGGGGGGGGGGGGGGGGGGGGTGGGGGGGGGGGGGGGGGGGGGGGGGGGGGGGGGGTTGGGGGGGGGGGTGGGGTGGGGGTTGGGGTGGGGGGGGGGGTGGGGGTGGGGTGGGGGTTGGGGTGGGTGGGGGTGGGGTGGGGGGTGGGGGGGGGGTGTTGGGTGTGGGGTGGGGGGGTGTGGGTGGGTGTGGTGGGTGTGGGTGGTTGGGTGGGGGTGGGGGGGTGGGGGGGTGGGTGTGGGGGGGTGTGGGTGGGGGGGGGGGTGGGTGGATGGTGGGGTGTGGGGTGGGAGGGGGGGTGTGGGTGGGGTGGCTGGGGGTGGGGGTGGGTGGTGTGTGTTGTGTGGGTTGTGGGTGGTTGTTTAACTTGTGGACATTTCTTACTTATCACGGATTTGTTGCTAACCAACTTACTTCATATGGTAATTTAGCGAAGAGTTATGCCACCGTATCTGTATGCATTATTGGATTTATTTTATTTCAGCTTGTCGTTTAAAGTGAATGGCTGTTGTTTGATATCCCTGGTATGGTTGCGCTTGATGTGTATGTTGACAAGGTGCCTACCTGTCTATTACCCACTACCTCGTCCATACTGGCTCCAGGAGACAGTTGGTCGTTGCTGGAGGGGACGGGGTGCACGGTCCTTGTGGCCGTGCTAGGCTCGAAGAGTGGTTCCATGCACTCAGTGTGGAGCGGACTACGGTCCAGCCACCGCCTTGTGTGCGCTTGATTCCCAAATACAGCGTGCTTGTGTTTGCCTGTGAAGGAGTGTGGGCCGGCTCCGTTGATGAAACGTGGCTCCCATCCACATGCCTCCCGGTCTTATTCCTTCGGGTTTACACTGGATATGGGGTGTGTGGTTGGAGCTGTGGGTGGTGCAGCGCAAGTCACCCATGGTCCCTCTGTAGGCGCAGGCGTCCTGTGGCTTGCCACAGTGACAGGCAAATCCGAAACCGGATGCCGCCAACCATGTATGTATGTGTGCCCCATGCTGAGGCTGATGTTGCATTCTTGATGCTTCTTCACCGCAGTTGGGCTAAACCAACTTACACTTAAACTAGGTCTTTTCAAGCTGGCTAAATTTCATTCCACTTTATTTGGTTTGTTCTGCCTACCTGAATACTCTTCTATTAACTGGCCACATTGCTTACATTAATTGCGCTTATTTTCGGTAACTCTGTTGCGTTTTGTAGCATTTTTAACTAACTTGTGGACATTTTTTCTTTATCGCGGATTTGTTGCTAGCCAACTTACTTCATATGCTTATTTAGCTTAGAGTTATGCCACCGTATTTGTATGCATTATTGTATTTGTTTTATTTCATCTTGTCGTTCCAGGTGATTGGCTGTTGTTTGATATCCCCGGTGTGGCTGCGCTTGATGTGCATGTTGACAAGGTGCCTACCTGTCTATTACCCACTACCTCGTCCATACTGGCTCCAGGAGACAGTTGGTCGTTGCTGGAGGGGACGGGGTGTACGGTCCTTGTGGCCGTGCTAGGCTCGAAGAGTGGTTCCATGCACTCAGTGTGGAGCGGACTACGGTCCAGCCACCGCCTTGTGTGCGCTTGATTTCCCAAATACAGCGTGCTTGTGTTTGCCT